TCCTCCAGAGCAGTGACAACCCGCTTTTTAGGGGGTTAATGTTCAACTCCAACAATAACAATCCTGGGTTCTGCCCCCAGGCTCAGGACACTCATGTAGCCACACAGTCTGTGCAATTTGTTCCTACATCCTCGGCCAGCCCAGAAGACACCACAGCTGAGCAGTTGGCACAAAATGCGGCAGCCAACCTTCAGGGCCCTCCTCTAGCAGAAGGCCAGCATCCACAGCTCTCAGACACCTGCTCCCTTCCAGAGAACGCCAGTCTTTTGGACCTGGACGTGGATTCTTCCTGCCGTCTTTCCATACAGGCAGCAGCTACTTCTCCAGCACACGATCCAGAACATTTAAAACACCCCAGCTTGAAAGATTTCAGTCACTGGGTTACATTTAGTGATGATGAAGACAGTAGTGCACTGTCAGAAGGGTTCAACAAACTGCTTGTCTTAGAACAGAATAAAAATACCTTGATGAAGACAAACACTGACTTAGAACTGTAAAATTCTGTCCCTTTAATGTTCCTATAGAAATCATAATTATGATGCAAAATAAATTTTTTGCACAAGGATTTTTATTTAACCAAATAGATCATCTGTCCATGCTACATTTCATTTTCATGTTTAAAGATACTGCCCCTGGAGGGAAGTGTATATACAACCTAACGTTATCTACAGCTTGTTTGAAAAGTTCTTTATTCTAAGTTATTTCTTTTTATTAATCCATCTTAAGATGGTTTATTTCATTTCAGGTACAAATCATATGTAAGAACATGTAATGATATATGGAAAAAAGACATTAAGAAAAACATTCTTCCTGTGGAGTTTATCACTTTCTGTCACTTGAAATAAAGCACCCTTATCTTCAAGAGTTAGACTGCTACAGTTATTCTGGAACAAACATCCAAAAGGAGAATGCATACACATGTAACTACAGCAGTAGCGCTGGTATTGTTCTGCTACTTATCCACTGTGGACACCAGGCTTAGACAGTATCTTCTTGTAAATCTCAACTAGCTGCTGTGGCAGCAGGCCCTAGTACTTACCTTGTTAAATTGACTCCTGTGTTAAGAGTAAAACGAAAGGTGTGTACTATGAGGCTGTAAAGCGGAACCTTGAGAGGGGGTGCCCAGGTGTCACCCAAGAAATGCCTGTTTTTACTCCAGACCAGGCAAGTGAACCCCTGTATTGCAAGAGGTCTGTTGTAAGTGCTGTGCTGTTAATGGCACTGTGGTAACATGCCTCAGCTGTTCTCTAAGGGCTGGGTAACCTCTCAAACTACTGCTCTGACCTCCAGTGAGACCAAAGGCAGCCCTAGTTGGTTTTCTACCACAATACCAAAACTCACTCTGTTTTTCTGTTCACAACAAAACAAACAACATACTTTACAATGAAACAGCACGTGGACAAAGACAGTCCCTTTTTAAAGAAAAGCTATAGTCTCCTTGTATAGTATCTATGAAAATACTGTGGAAATACAGTAAATAGCCAAGACCTGTTGATGACACAGGTCATTAGCATATGACTGTCTGATGCTAAAGACAGTTTAATCAGTAGGGACCCTGTTTCCCTTCTGAGTGTTTGTAAGAAAATACCATGTCAGGCTTTTATTTTCACGTTGCAGATGAGGAAAGAGCTTGTCTGGGAATCTGAGTTTACACACAACACTAAGCCCCAAGCAGATGACTGGGAACGGCAGAACTCCCTGGCAGAGAGGAACTGTCGCTTACAGCCTAAGTATGAGTTGAAGCTCAGCCTGGACACCAGTGGGGGTGTGGGTGTGGTGTGTGTGTGTAGAGCTACTGCTGTCCCTGTGTTTCTATCGCTATGCAGTCTTGTTTATTTTGTCCCAGGGAAGGAGCTGCCAGGTGCTTCCTGTTCACCTCAGCAGCTGCAGCAAGGCCGTGCTGCATAGAGGGCCAGGCAGCCCTCAGAAACAACATGGTCACTGGAGAGGAGCTGGGGAGGCTAAGAAATGGAACAAGCCCTGGGCAACTGCACCTGAGACTGAGGACAATTGTAAGCAGCATGTGCACCACTGTAAATAAAGCTGTTGCTCCAGTGTGCTCTGTGCCCGTAGAGGTAGCATACCTAGGAGGCAGCTGCAGTGCACAGAGTAAAGCTAACCAGCAAGTGGCTACCATCATCTGTTCTGTGTGGGTTCTGCAAACAAAAGGGTTAAAAGAGGATCACATTCAGTGGTTCCGACTACAAAGCCTAGCTTGGGGAAGCACTCCCTGGTCACCAGTGCAGAAACTGCAGGCAAATCCTCCTATGTGCCTGCACTGCTCCTCCCTTACACTTACCCAGTCAGTATTCCACCAGAGCCTATAGGGACAAGCGAGTCTATAGGTCACTCACCGGGGTGGGCTGACTCGAGAAGTGTTGCTGCTCAGCAAAAAGCAGACTGAGCTTCATGATGAAGTCATCTCTCATTTATTAGCAAGCCAGCAGTCGAGCTTCTCAGAAGCCCAAGATTTTGGCGAGGACAATCCATGGTGCTAAATGCATCTGTTGTCTGCTCAAGCTGCGCAGGCTTTTGCCTTGCACATGCAGTAAAACTGTACACGATAGATGCCATTTGTGCAAAGCAGGCAGTTAAAAATGATAAACAGATTGCAACTTGTCACGGTAACTTGTTAAGAGAAGCATCAAGATCTTTTATTATTAAAGGAAGGAGAGCATTTTTAAGCAGTTGGTGAAGCTGAAAACAACCTCTTCAGGTTGGGTTTTTTTTTCAGAAAAGATGTATTAAAAAAAGGTTGGGTTTTTTTTCATAGGAGAAATTAATTGGCTTGTTCTCAGCTTCTTGGAAACTGGGAATTCAGCCATTTTCTTACTTGCAATGCCTACCTGTTTCATTGCTACCACCAAATTGTGAACACAAGACAACCTGCAAGAGCATGTTCTGTCATCTGAGCATCTGGCACCCTCCTATGCTCCCTTGTTTGCTGGACACTTTAAAAAAGATCCCCAAACACTTCAAAGGCCAAACCAATAAAACCCAGTGCTCAGCTTCCTGAGTGAGTGTCAGTTTAAGATGGTAGCAGGCTGGTGACAAATGCTGAAGCAGATAGTTGTTTCCCTACAAGATGACACAGAGCCTTAGCCTCTTTGTCTTCCTCTTAAAAAAAACAAAACAGTGAATATTTATGGGCACATTTCAGTATAAAACAGTAAGAGCAGTAAAAAAGAAAGAGTACGTTATATGACCATATCCAACATTTTCTGCAAAGATAAATTAACAACTCTAGGACAGCTAATTTACATGTTAATGAAAGTGTTAGCAGGAAAGCCAATTAAAGTGGATTTATACAAGTCAAATAAAATCTGCTTTATTACTCTCCTTGAATAAGAGAAGTATCTGGCCTTTAGCATTTATATCTGATGTCTACGTATGTGGCAAGCTGCCCATTAAAGTGTGAATCCCCACAGCTAAGCTGGTTTATACTATCAGAGACAGCATATACTGTTCAATCACAGCAAATCAAGGGAAAGGAACAGACAGTCCAGCTGAAAAGGTTACAGCAAAGAATGAGGATCTTCTGTCTCAACATATCATCTTCCACACTGGTGCCCAGCACCCCAGCCAAGTGTTTTTTCAGAGGCAGGTGCTTGTGACCTGTGTTCTAGTTTTAATGCTCAGGAGAAGCAAAATAGGGCCAGACTTGCTCTGCGTTTGGGAAACCATTACAGAAAACTCAGACTGCAGGAGGTGGTCATTCTTTCCTTATCATTCAGGATTAAGCCAAGCCCCACCACAATGTGAAAAGAGGCCAAGTAACCTGACCCATCGCTACCTGACATCCACGGCTGGGGAACCCATGGCACAGCTCTGTCCTCAGCCCTGCTGCCATTCTTACTGGGACACTATCAGTGGAAACCTATGTTCTTGGTGACAGCAATCAGACCTGAAGGCCACATAACAGGTGGTAGGGAGTGGCTATCTCATGATATTCTTCATGTTGTGAACCCAGCACTCAGAAATCTTAAAACTGTTGACACTGGCTGTGAAGCCACATATTAATGATTTACCAGATGCAAGTATATAAGTGCCCATGTGCTCATTTAATGTGAGAGACTTTGGAAAGAGCCTTAACACCGTATGAGCTTGCCCAGAACCCTGTAGTACAGCAACTTCAAGTTGCTACAGGCATCCTGGTTGTTCAGCTGCATTTGTTTGGGGTGGGTAAGTGGTTCTCGGTATAGCAACTGCCTGATTTAGCTTTTTTAGGTGGGTGATCACTGAAACTAATAGAGAACCAAAACACTATTTAGAATTACCACTCTGACAAAAAAAACATTTTTGATTTTTTCTTTTTGTCCAGAGTTGACATTTTCACCAGATGGAAAATTTCTAGTTTCTAGCTAGCTGCTCTGCCTGGCACCATGAAGCACAAACCACAGTAAAAGCCAGTTTGCACTACAGTAATCACAGCAATTAAAAACTTGATGACTGCTGCTATTAGAAATACCAATACAGTTATACAAGTGTGCTGAACAACAAGTGCATGAGAATTGACAAATTTGTAATAGCCCTCCCTTCCTGACTTACTATTTTAGTCTTGGATGTCACAATGCAGACAAAATACCATCTTCTCAGACAATTCAGACATACCTAGTAGCCACATCTGCAGCTGGGTTCCAGCTAGATGGGATTAAGGACACAGTTTGAGACCTAAGAATTTACCTAGTGCCACTATTCTGAATTAATGTGACACCAGAGAGGCACAAAAGCGTAAGTTTCTAATGGGAAGCAGATGTGAATGCTAGGCAACAGGCCCTCTGGCCCTCAATGCAACATCTGTACATGGTTTAGGAGGCACTTTTGCAAAATCTAAAAGCACAACTGAAAAACTGCTCAGTTTGGCAAAGTTGATGACTGGCTGTGCCCCCCAATACTATGCCTCTTATTGAAGATGAATGGTAAACATCACATTCTTCCAGCATGAGACAATCACTAAAAAGAACGGAGGTCTTTAACAAAAGTGAACATGATCCAGAGCATTCATTTGGCAGATCATTCACCTTTAATACATTTTGTGGCTTATCTAGTACATTTTAAAAAATGTATTACTATATTCAAAAAAATATCCACCAAAAACCAATGCCAACAACCCCCCCTCAAAATATTAAAGTTACACATATATACATACAGTTACAAAAAGGAGAAAGTTGCCTCAAGAGTTCCAGTAACAAGACACAGATGCATTTACTGAGATTAAAGTGTAACGTCATTGATCTGAATCCCTGTAAGTCAGTCATCTATTAAAATCAACACAAGATCTGTCACGTTAAATATGTATTCAGTTATTGGAAGTCTTGTCTATTCACAATCATTTCCACATACCCTCTACTTTGTGAATACAAAGTGTTCTAATATATTTACACTCTGAAGTTTAAACCACAGTGTAAAAAGGATAAACCTCTTTAGAAGTTACAGCAATTGTTACATTTTCTATGTGAAACACTGCTATGCAGTGTTCTTACCTTACCTACACCTTGGTTAGGGGGAAAAAATGATCTTTTTTCCAGTGTAGTGCTGTACGTTCTCTGTACTGCTCATGTGAATTTTACTCCGCAACTCCATCAGGTCAAGGGTCAACTTCCAGAAGTACCTTTGCAGATGTAGCATCCTCATGGGCTGGAGTGCTTTCAAGAGGGAACAGCTGAGGTGGCCTCAGGACCTGGCAGGACTGCAACAGCCCATGCAGAACTGCAAAGCATGTCCCACCTCTCTGGTAGCCTACATGGCCATAACTGCAAGGCCAGTGATATTAAATCCATCTCATGGAAGTGACACTAAGAGACATCTTAAGCCCATCATCAATACAGGCCTTATTTAACAAACGGTCAGCTAGAGTAGTACAGCCTAATCACAGCCTGTTTGTTTTCAAAGAGGGTTTGGGGATGCAAAGAAAGGAAGGAAAGAGACCACAGTTAGACTAGGCTGCTTTCAACTACATTGCAAACTATTTAAGACTTTTAAAAAGTGGCTGAACACTGCTTTTTTTTTTTTTTTTTCCCTAACAATACTTATTTCTCATCAGTACTGTTAAGATATCCTTAACATAAACTCAAATAAGACAACACTACTTTGCTCTATATCTATACCAATAAATATGCTTAGGCCTCAAGAAACCAAAATATCTGGGATCTTCTGCATTTCACTGGGACCTTAGAGTCACCTGAATTTTTTCTGCTTTACTTTTCCTCCACCTGAGCTCCAAACTCTAAGCATCAGGTTTTTTGCCAGGGCCTACATTTGTCTTACTCCACCAAAGCGTTTTCAATGCTGCTATTTAAATCAGCTAAAGAAAGAGTTTCTAAATGAGTAACATGAGCTAAGACTTGAATGTACCATCATCTTCTCGCTATGTCCCAAGAGTAAAACAAGAGAGCTAAGCCTCTGTTCTGTATCTTCCATGTAAACAAGCACAGAACTGCCCCGAATCTGACCAGATACACACTGTCCTAAAGAAACCAAGTCTCACAAGTTGCTAAGATTAAGAGAGAAATGTACAAGGTGGTGAACATTTCTTTTGTTTTCATTTACACAAACAGATTAAAACAACTACAGCTGCCTATGCTAGACAACCTACCAGCCTCCCTCTTTCTCATGCAGAAAACAGATGTCATATTTGCTGACAGACCTGGGTGGTCTATTAAATGAAAGGCAAATTACAAAAACTCTTGTAATTGGGCCACTAGACCAAAATGCTGCCTTCATTCACTTGGATAAATTTCTTCAGGCCCCAGTCAGACTACTTAACATAGACAGTAAACCAAAGCTTTGAGGCAGCCACATGCTTCTTCTCCCCTTTGACACAACAAATAACCACCTCAGTTAACTGCTTCTGATCCTCTATCAGACTTCAGTTCCAGATGTATATTTACCTTAACCTCCAGAGCAAGGCTTTTTTTTTTTTTGGCTCAAAGGAGATATTCTGGGCACTCTCCATAGTCAAGCTGTGTTGCTTCAGAGGGATATCTGTAAGTGAAACTTCTTTTCCACCGAATTCCCAGCCCCTCCCAGTCAAATTGCTGGAGAATTTACACACATTTTGTCAACAGATCACAGTCTCTCTAAGACAACACACATTTTCTTTTTGCCAAGTTTATAGGACTACAGTTTGTATTTGTTTTGAATATATTTTAAAAATAAGTTGGAGAGGTGTCTAAGTGGGAGATGTATCGAAAATTATTTTAGCAGCAGATACTATTGACATAGCATCGTTGTAGTTCTGCAGATCCCCTAACAAATTTTAGGAGAAGAACTTACTGTGTTATACCAAATAGAGAAAATAAGCAGCCAAGGATGTCATAAACTCAGTCTCCAAGTTCTTGGGCTAAAACATCCTGAATGAACTTCAATGTACGTTGGTACAGGAAAGCATCCTTCTTCTTTGGCTTACAAATATTTAGATGATTAACATCCACTGGAATAAGGTCTCCAATTCCTAACTCTAGGAGAGGAGGGGGGAAAAAAAAAAAAAAAGAAAAAACTACTGAAGTTTGTAAATTCACCTAGACTGAAAAGCATCTTGCATTAGCAATTTCTCTCTCAAAAGCAACTTCTGTCTTCAGTTAAACTGTTTTGTCCTAATTACTTTCTAATGTGCTAAAAGCATCAACACATGCTGTTATAGTCATGAGTCACAGAATGGTTTGGGTTGGAAGGGACCTTAAAGATCATCTAGTTCCAACCCCCCTGCCATGGGCAGGGACACCTCCCACTAGACCAGGTTGCTCAAAGCCCCGAACATCCTGGACTGGAACACTGCCAGGGAGGAGGCAACCACAGTTTCTCTTGGCAACCTGTTCCAGTGTCTCATCACCCTCACAGGAAAGAATTTCTTCCTTACATCTAAACTAAATCTACCCTCTTCCAGTTTAAAAGCATTACCCCTTGTCCTATCCCTACACTCCCTGATAAAGAGTCCCTCCACATCTTTCCTGCAGCCCCCTTTAAGTACTGGAAGGCTGCTATAAGGTCTCCCTGGAGCCTTCTCTTATACAGGCTGAACAACCCCAACTCTCTCAGCCTGTCCTCACAGGGGAGGTGCTCCAGCCCCCTGATCACAGACACAGTCAGACAGAGCTACACATTGCTACAAAACCCACAATGGTAAACCATTAAGTTAGAGTTCTATCATCTTTACTGGGAATATACAAATGTACATTTCTCCATACAGACAACTTGGAAGAATCAAAACTTCATTTACCAGGACCTGGATGACAGCAAAGCCCTGACTGAAGTTTAAGCATTGACATGAACATGGATAGGGTTTAATCCAGGGTATTCAGACAGTGATCACCACTAATTGCCTATAGTCCTTATAAAATAATTTGATGTGGAGATTAAAAATGGTACTAGAATGAACCTACAAATCACTATATACATTTCCAAGAAAATTAAAAATTTACATTGCTTAATTGTAGAATACAAATATTCCATTTTCAGCTACTGATTTTGGGGCCACACTACAGTATTTATTCTTTCCTGACAGCTATCACTACTGGTGAACCTTCTAGTTAGGATGCTGTGATTGCCACATTCTAGTTCACTATTCATTTAACATTCTGAGAAATCCTCCATTTTGCTCACAACTCTGTATCTTCAACCAGGTAAAATTAAACTGGAGCAGGATGAAGGTTTGCTTTCATGTGCCCAAGCACACATGTAAGAGATAGTGAGTGTACTGCTTGTCAGCCTGGGTTTTGAACAAAATGAATGGTGTGACACTGAACTGTCATGTACCCTCCAAAGGCTTTTGAGAGATCTCACGTGCTACATTGTGTGTCATTTCCAGAAAAGGAGAAATATGCTACAAGATTATAAGTACACAGACCTTACACGTGCACTCTCCTATCCAGCCTTCTTTTTCATTTTGTTAAATCAAAAAAAAAGATGAATGCCCAATTTTTCAGTCCTTGTCAATAAAACTGCCTCAGCAACATTTTTGCAAACAACTGCTTCTTGAGAAGACATACTGAAAAAATAATGCTAAGTATTGACTCAGAAAACCAGGGATGTATAGTCTGTCTTTTTCAGAGCAACTAACCTTGCACTTAAACTAGTGGATTTAGCTGGTGGAAAGCCTGATCTAAAACCCAACCAAACAATGTTTTCAAGACTTTACAGATACCTTGGGCAGTGCAGAAGAGGGTTTTGCTCAGACAAAACCTGAAAATATCAGACTTAAAACAATTATCTAAGTTGAACACCCACAAACAAAGCAAGAGGAAGAACTGTCTCGTGTTCCCTTCTACAGAAGGCAAAAGAATGGAAGGAACTCTTCAGAAGGCAAAAATCTATTGCTTGACTACCTGAGATATAGAAGAGAAAGGACTGCAGAACAGCTATGTGACTTTTCCCTTCCATTAGCAGTTTGCTAATTTTCTTTCCTACTTTTTAAAGGAAGGAATAGCTGGAATTTGGGAGAGTTTCTGAAACACTATTCAGCCTACCTACACAAGGATAAACAACAGTTACTCATAATTACAAAGGAAAGGTCTACAACAATGCAACATCAGACCAGGGTCCACCCTGCTTTTTTCAATGTGCAAGTGTTACTCATATTTAGAAAAATCAAACCAGACTGTTGCTATCTTAAGATATAAATGAACCTGCCTCTGATCTCAGCAGGGAGGTTGTTGTTTAAATTCAGCCAGAAGTTTAAACAAAAAGCCCCACAATATAACAGACATATTTTTCTAGGTTTTTCTACTGTAGCATTTATAATCCTTCCTCATTATCGATGCTTACATGGATATATACAAAATTAAATGGCTATTAGACTTACTTGCTGATTCCAAAGGTACGACATGCAGTTTTATCATGCTGCCTATGTGTGTTGGTAAGGTTTCTGCAAAACTCAGCACGGAAAATTTCTTATCTTTGGCAAAAGACAGGAAGTCATCATTCAGGTCTTTAAGGGCAGGAGAATCTGACAAAGAACAACATAAGATTACAGCATTTGTCTGGCAAGACTGCATTTCTAAAGAGATGTTTGGGAAAAATTAATACTTGAGTAAAAGGAGTAGCATTTTGTTTGTAATCCCTTTTTCCAGCTATCATATAACATGGAATTTGTTTAGAAGGTAAGAGTCTAAAGGCCAGCACATGTTGAGTTACATTGCTAAATGGCCCAAAATAATCTTCTATAAACTTGTTCTCACCTACGTTTTTCCCCCTCACCTCTGCAATCAAATGAAACAGTTACTCAGAATTACTTACAGCAATTCAACACACAACCCAAAACATAAAAAGGGGGGGGTTTGGTTGTTTTTATCCAGCTTTTTCTGACAGCACGATTAAAAAAAAAGCTTCATGAATAGATTAGCATAGATCCCTGTCGTTAAATGGTAGCAAAGTGAGAGTACCCTTGCTGAGTTCTTTAACCTCCACAGACGGAAAGAGAAGATATCTGGCATTTATAGAATATTCAGCCAGCTGGGAACCATGGTGAGGTACGCTATAAAATATGATTCCTCTGGTGTTGTTTACAATTTTATCCATTTCTGGATTCTTGGAAGCATCCAGCAGCATCTTTTTGACTAGAAGACCTGGCAACAGAAAATGAATTAATGCAGGGATTTAAAACACTGTGAAAATAATGATCATGCTATATTATCCATGAAACAACTAACCATATCCTTGCCTCAGCTGATTAGTCCTTAGTTTGTCAAATATGTAAGATTAAGTTGAAAAAAACCCAAACCAAACCTGAGGAGGCATTAAAATAAAATATCAATGAATGATGCAAATCCAATTCTGGTTGCTTTAAGTGCTGCTAATGACATTTACTATATGCCTGATCATGGAGAAAATTTTGCCTCTGGATTCCCATTTATATGAATTTCGACTCATTGATTTTGTGTTTTTCAGTCAACACAGTAAAAATAAACAGCAATAAAAATCCTTTCAAAGCGTATATGCTATTGAATACAATGCATTGAGAAAGTAGAAATCTATTTTCCATTTTCAGGTCTTTGCAAATCTTTCACATAAACTATTCTGAAAAATTCTGCATTTCAGACTGAACAGCTTATTCTGAAATACAATGACAGATAAATACTTCATATCAAACAGGCAATGTGCTTACCACCCATGCTATGTGAGACCCACACCAGAGGTCTGTCTCCAATCCCAGCAGCTCTGAGCTTGTCAAGAAGCTCATTGCTCCTGTAAGCAATAGACTTCCTGCAAAGAAGAAACAAACACAAGCATGACAAAGCATGATAGGTTAAAAGGCAATGTTAAAACAGAATGAATTTTCAGTGTTGTACGTTTTAAAGTGAATTAGGTATGTAAAATTCAATTAATTAATCATTGTTGCTACACTGAAAACTGCCAAAAAATTTTGTAAGGCTGGCTTCACAAGGACAACAGGAATTGAGCTAAATTCAGTCTCTTGATCTTGCTAGAAAGTTTTACTTTAATTTCACTCACCCACTAATTTCCTTTAGCTTTAGCTCAAGAAATCTCTTTATGGACTTTTAGATAGCTTCATTTACACATTGTAACAAAATTGTGTTTTCATTTTCTGAAAGCATCATCAATGCATAATAAACTTTATCCCCTCAAACAAGAGTACACCTAATGTCTGACAAAAACGTACTTTGCTAAACAATGTTCGAAATGTGGAGCAATGTACTGAAATTTAGTAACTAAGTGCATGATCAACCAATACATAAAAAAAAATCACAGATAATGTCTGTTATACTTTCCAGACAATAATCTCCAAATATTTTGTACTGGAGTAGTATAAAAGCACAATAACCTTGACTTCATAAATTGAGAGACTAAGCTCTGGGAAAGAATCATAGAGTCTCAGAATCATCTAGGTTGGAAAAGACCTTGAAGATCATCCAGTCCAACCATTTACCTAAATTGACAGTTCTCAAATACACCATATCCCTCAGTGCTATGTTGACCCAACTTTTAAACACCTCCAGGGATGGGGACTCCACCACCTCCCTGGGCAGCCCATTCCAACACTTAAAAACTCATTCTGTAAAGAAATACTTCCTAATATCCAGTCTAAACCTTCCCTGGTGCAATTTGAGGCCATTACCTCTTCTCCTATCGCTTACTACTTGGTTAAAGAGGCTCATCCCCAGCTCTCTGCAACCTCCTTTCAGGTAGCTGTAGAGGGCAATGAGGTCTCCCCTCAGCCTCCTCTTCTCCAGACTAAACCCCCCCAGTTCCCTCAGCCGCTCCTCGTACGACCTGTGCTCCAGACCCTGCACCAGCTCCGTTGCCCTTCTCTGGACACGCTCAAGTCATTCAATGTCCTTTTTGTAGTGAGGGGCCCAAAACTGAACACAGGAATCGAGGTGTGGCCTCACCAGTGCTGAGTACAGGGGTAAGATCCCTTCCCTGTCCCTGCTGGCCACGCTATTGCTGACACAAGCCAGGATGCCATTGGCCTTCTTGGCCCCCTGGGCACACTGCTGGCTCCTGTTCAGCCGGCTGTCAATCAGCACCCCCAGGTCCCTCTCTGACTGGCAGCTCTCCAGCCACTCCTCCCCAAGCCTGTAGCGCTGCTGGGGGTTGTTGTGGCCCAAGGGCAGCCCCCGGCATTTGGCCTTATTTAAACTCCTGCAGTTGGCCTCAGCCCATGGCTCCAGCCTGTCCAGGTCTCTCTGCATAGCCTCCCTACCCTCGAGCAGATCAACACTCCCACCCAACTTGGTGTCATCTGCAAACTGACTGAGGGTGCACTCGATCCCCTCGTCTAGACCATCAATAAAGATGTTAAACAGGAGTGGCCCCAAAACCGAGCCCTGGGGGACACCACTCGTGATTGGCCTCCAACTGGATTTAACTCCATTCATCACAACTATTTGGGCCCGGCCATCCAGACAGTTTTTTACTAGAGCGAAGCATGTGCCCATCCAAAAAAGCATCAGGAACAGTGAGGTGGGTATCCTCAAGTAACAAGCTATAGGACAAGAGGAAATGGCCTCTAGTTGCACCAGCAGGGGTTTAGATTAGGTATTAGGAAAAATTTCTTCACCAAAAGGCTTGTCGAGCATTGGAACAAGCTGTGCAGGGAAGTGGTTGAGTCACCATCCCTGGAAGTATTTTAAAAGACATGTAGATGTAATACTTAGGGACATAGCTTAGTGGTGGACTTGGCAGTGCTGGGTTAACAGTTTGACTTGATGATCTTAAAGGTCTTTTCCAACCTAAGCAATTCTGAGTCTATGAAAATTATATACTTCATTTTATTATAAGTATAAAGTGACTTTTTTTGCTGTGCTTATGAAGCATTGGTGGGTCATTTTAAGTTTTAAAAAAATATTCCCCTTAAGATATAAAATTGATGTTATATTTGCCTCAACTAATAGCTTAATTTAGTGTCTCCCCTAAACATGAATCAGAATAGACTGCCAGAATGTAGGACGTTGCCACAAGTAGTTTAAAAAGCTCAAATATACCATAACTGTACATAATATTTTTCCAAACTTGATTTTCAAATGCAACAGGAAAAGTTAAATTCACTGTTTCATACTAAGTGATCCCAAATATCAGCTTTACAGGTCTCCCTCCTGCCCCCCTGCAACCTGCAGATACTACACTTGTTACCTGTGAGCCTCAACAGGACATTTTGCTTTCCAGTCACTCAAATGGGTGTCATATTCCACAGATATGATTCTAAGGGCAGGACAGTCTGAAGCCAGCCATGTCTAAAAGGAAAGCAAAACCAAAATGAGCTTATAATTGAAGTACTTAAACTCTTGCAAGCAATTTAGCAAAGATGTTACTATGGGGACAATTATCATGCAAGATTTTTGCTCTTCAGTTAATTCCCAAATACGTCTTACACCTAGACTAGTATTCTTTTACTACATGCTGGTGAACCCTAGTCTGTTCCCCAGCCACAAAGCAGGCAAAGGATGGAGATGGATTACTAACTCGTGTGTTCCTGGCTCCCTCTCCTGGGTGAAACAAGAATTACCAACTGGACTGATCAGTTTTAAGTTTTACAAAGATAACTTCAGTGGTTATAGGAATTTGAGTTGCTTGAAGCAGTAATTACTTATTTACCAACAATATTTAAGTAGCAATCTGCAAAAACTGATGTACTCTGACACCTTATGTAAGAAAGGATACTTAATTTTAAATGCAATTTTATGTACCGTTTTCTCAGCAATAACATTCCATTAAAAAAAAAAAAAGAGATAGAGCATAAGGAAAGCTGCCATTGCCTCCTTTTTCACTAGCAGGAGAATAATCTTGAGCGATTAAATTTAGCAAGGATTTTCCTTTGCAAGAACCACTTGTTCAAAATTTCAGCTTGATAACAAAAATACATCAGGAACTTGGAAAGTGCTACTTGTGTGACATATTCTAAAGTCACTCGATACAAAACAGACAACTGCTAGACCATGTAATTCTAGATCCTCTGGAGAGCTATCATTAATGAGAAAACAGCAGTTGTATGGGAAAATGTTATTGTCTTTCTACCTTTGGCCAGCACTGGCTATAATCCTCTTCCCCTTCTGAAGCCTTTTTATCCAAACGTCGGTCAATGTCTTGCTGTCGCCAGGTTTTAAATGCTGCTCCCAAAAGACCGTGAACAAAAAGGATGTCTGCTCTGATGGGCTGACTGATACAGGAAAAGGAATTTTTAAGAGGTGCACGGTACATATTCTTTTAGCAAATTAAATTTACATAGAACATGCTATTTTTAACACTATATATGATTTTTTTATCTTATGGACAACATTTCATGGCATCTCGTGATACTCAAAGAGAATAGTCAAACCAAGACAAAAAACAGGGATCCACCCAGAAGATATAAAAAGAGGTATGGGAAGTACCTACCTCAGAAGTTGTATTTTTCTGTAATGAAAACCACCATTTTCTCCAGCTACTGTTAATGTAGCTTGGTAGTTCCAGCTCTATCCTCAAATTAGATCTTTGCTGTAACCTGACTAACACCAATGACCCATGGAACACTTGCTACTAAGTGGCATACCACATTGGAAACTGCTTCAGTCCCAGATACACAATCATTATTAAAAGAAGCTGAAGCTGTAAATTTACTGCATCTTAGGCCAATGTGTGCTTCTGCCAGCAGAATAGCTGCAAGGCACTGTATCCCAAGACAGCCAGTGCAAAAGTTAAATGGTTGCAATGCATGCAAAGCAGTAATTCATCTCATGGTTTGTGTTTGGATGTTTCTATCAAGTACAATACTTGATTCATGGTTATGGACTGCTCTGACCAATTCCATTGTTCTATTTAAGAATCGAAATTCAGTCTCCTCAAGCTACCAAACAACAGGAGGAGCATGTAACATCAGTACAGCAGCACTATCATGTCAACTTTTCCCAAGTTTTGTAATTGAACAGTAAAACAAAGTACAGCATGTTCACTATCTCCTTTTGCTTTACCTGCTACGATATTGTGGATGTAAGACATAAACACCATCTGGATACTTTTCTTTCACTGTGTCCCTGTCTAGATTAGCCAAAGCCCTGGATGCATGAGAAGACTGCATGACATTCGGGGATTTCATTACTTCAGCAAGTACAGAAACCCAACCTAAATTGAAAAAATAAAGTGGCAGGTTACCTAATTAGAAACATTATCCAAACAAAAGATTTCAGAAACATCATCCTTCAAACTACACTTGTGAAAATAGATGTTAAAACTTAAGAACGGTAACATCAAAACAAATCATTTCGATCCACTCTCTTTATTGTTGAAAAGACGATGTTAGATAAGCGGAGCCTCCAAAATTAAAAAATCCAAGGCAAAAGGCAATGTATTTTACTATTGTTCAGCTTATGATTTGAAGGAGAACCCTTCTCAGAAAAATAAAGTATATCAGCAGGTCAGTGCAGTTGTCAGGGAGAACAGATATCAAGTCTCTTATGCAGATAAGATGCAAGAAAGATAGAAAAAATAAATGTCCCAGGGAGAAAACAAAGCTTAAAGCATGACAGACATAGAAAACAACCCAAGGGATGGCAGGTGGAAAAACTGATGCTTGCTGTGAGAGTACAAACATTTCTAATTTTAAAATCCAGTGTGTGAAAAACTATTTAAGGAATCAAAATGTCTCTGCTATCCCAAAAGTAGTATACTATTTATACCTAAGAAACATAACAGAATTAATGAAGGAATCTTTGACACAATCCTCAACAAAATTTTAAGTCATAGCTACTTCAAGAAAAAACAGACACTTTATAATACCTTACCCAAGATGTAAAATACAGTTTCTTAGACATGGATGGGGATGTTCACACTACTGAGAAATGCAAAGGAATATCTTTTATATACACAAACACACATATATATTTCTTTAAAATCATGATAAATCTTGTTGCTGCTAGCAAGAGTGGCCTATAAATCACAATTACATTGAAGTCAAGTTCATAAATAAAATCTGGGAAGACTTTGAAATGGAGGCTGATTTGAAAAAGAAGAAACAATTTACTTCATGAGCACCGTTTCAAAACATGGACAATGTGTTGCTACTAGTATAGCCATTAAGTTGCTAATTCAAGATAGTTCCCTGTGGACTGAAAATAAGAATGAATTGACATGTGAGTTTCATGTAAATGCAAGTACCTTTGAGAACTCCAATTACTGCTCTTTTAATAATTATGTATTTAAATTACATTTCTAAGTAGAATATATGTTGACCACTGTGCAAGTTCTCCTTAAGAAGAACACGATCTAAAATCTATTTTCAGTTCTCCACATACAATGAAAGACTGCCAAACTAGTCTGATTAAAACTAGCAAAGTCTCTGGTTTTGCATTTCTCTTAAATGTGTCAAGATGAAGAGTCAAAAATACTGTTCAGAGTCCTTCTGCTCACAGATAACCCATCACAGTTACTACACAGTGCAATATTCCTTTTCTTCTTCTTCCTGTGCCAGCAGTTTTTACAAAGAAAAAGAGCCTTAGAGGTTCTTTCTTCTTATGCATCATCCAGCAACAAAAGAGAAGTCTCATCAGCTCTTGACCAGCAGTATCCAACTGCTCATCTCTGGAGTCCAGTTCACTGTCTAAAATTCCATTTGTACTGAGAGCTCTGCCCCAGGGAGCTGCTGACTCTTCTACTACAATCTCTTCCTCTACACACATGGTTCTAGCAGTCATTGTAAGAACAGTAAGAATGGTGTTAAGAGCTCAGACCAAAGGCCTCTGTAGTCCAGCTGTCTTTGTCCAAAAGTGAGCAGTAATGAAAGTTGCTGAACAATAAAAGAATAAAGCAATAAAAGGACAAGTGTACAGTGCTGATTCTCCACCATACCCTCTCAGTTTTCTGCAATCACTTTGACTTGTGTGTGTAGAGTTTTACCAATTTTTCCTTCCATTAATTTGTCTAAACGCTTTTCAAAACTCTAAGTCTTCAACAATTGCAATGTTATGTGGCAAGTTTTAGTTGGTCATGCACTGTATGGAAAAAAAAAAATTTATTTGTTCTGCCTCTTGATAATTTAATGTACAAGAACCTTTGGTCTTACATTACAAGAAACAGCAGATGACCATTCTCTCTTTGCCTTCTCTATGTCAGTGGAGACTTTATACATCTCCACCATATTATCCTTTGGTTGCTTTTTCCATATGAAGTGTCTTAGACTAGTTATTTGTTCTTTATACCAGAGTCATTCCAAACTCTTTATCACCTTCACGGTCTTTCCCTGTGCCTTTGTTACTTCTTTTTGCAACAGGGAGATTAAAAATGCACATTGCATTTAAAAAGCAGACACCAGCTCAGACAAATGCAACAGCATATTGATATTTTCTATTTTTCTTTTTATATCTTTCCTATTAAACCATTGGGAATTATTTATTTGGTACAGAACTTTCATTGTGATATTTAGAGGCATTAAAAAAGGGGGCATGAGAGCAAAGCTTAGCAGAAGTTACTAGCCTCACATGAAACACAGGAAGACATGCTTCACTTTCTTCTGAAAGAAAGGACTGCAGACTGTTCCTTTACAAGATTAAACACAGTTGGCAAGAAAAAAAAATATACAAGATAGATGATCTGTAAGAGTAGAAAACTCAAAAGATCTCTGCCAGTAATGTGGACCAAACATCAACTGAGTCCAAATTTTCACTATCCATCAGACTTAGAATGGTTCTGTAGCACTGACAAATATTGGCTAGACAGCATACAGGATTTTTAATCAACACCATCTAAACTGTCTGTATTTTTTGTATTAAAAAACCCCAACAACACCACCTCCCCAAATATAAAAACCACACCACTACCGTGGTCCTTTGCATTTTACAAACGCACCAAATCCTCTGAAAATTTTAGAATAGAAATCTGACATTCAGACTGCTTCCACTTGCTTTCCTTTTACCTGCACGTACTATGGGTGAATGTAGACGTTCATCCAAAGCCATATTTCCAATAATGCGAATTATGTTCCTTTGTATTTTTGCTGAATCTTTACGTAGCTGGTATATCCTCTGTAGTAGCTGAAGGCCTCCTTTAGCTTCAATTTTGTCACAGTGAGAAGAAACCTAGCATTATACAGTAAATACAATGACAATAGGTAGGTGTTCTGCAAAATGTTGAGATGCTGCTCATTCACAAATTAGGGAATTTTAAGGAGCCAGTATGATGCAGAGCCCTTATTACATAGAAATTCTTATGAATCTAGAAATTATTATGCCACAGCTGAAGAGGAAGCATATATTTTAATACACTAGATGCATGATTTCTATGGATTGACAACGTGAAACATGCAGAGTACCATCACTCTACTCTCATCCACCACATCTGAGGGAGGTAAGATTGCTCTCCACTTGACATGATCAAATTTCAACTGAAGTTCAAGAGTCTGAACAGGACAATTGTCTGCATTTGTTAAAGCACTATCTCAACCCGAGCTACTTGTCTTCCTGTTCACCACCTAAAATGCAGTCATTATAAACCCTTCTCTTTGAAATTCAAAGGTATTTCCAAATAGTACTGCTATCATTACTGATCTTAAGGGCAACAATAGATTCTAGTCCAAGCAGATGAATATGCACAAATTAGTCATAGTGTCAACTGATATTGGACAAATGCTTATGACTTGAATATAATGTCTACAGTGCTTAACAATGTGTGGTAGTTATGGAACTGCTGATGTCCTCAAGTTTTCAATAAAGACGCACATTTGGAATGAGTACTGTCACAATTTGTTTAAACTGAGAATCTTGCATATAACGAATTGTAGAGTAAGTCAGAATTTCTATGTATACAGATGTGAAACCTATACTAGCAAACTGCACTTTATCCATCCCTATTACCAATAACAATTTGGTATTCTCCGCACTTTCTCAGTGTTCTAGGCTTCTGAGCAATTAAGTGCGTGGCATTAGGAAACAAGAATCACTGTTACACAAAGACTTCCATACTCTGCCTGTGTTTGCAAAGAACAGAATGGTCCTGGGAGGATGCTAGGATACTAGCTGCACACTGTGCAACGTTCTGCCCAAAGGCAGTGACCCTTGTATGAGGGGCCTTTGTGCATAGCCAAGGTTTGTATTCCGTTCCGGCTTCTGATTAGAGTGATTTCATGAGGCTATTTTGCTTTCTGCAAACCTGGCACTAGAGTTTGCTTAAGGGCCACAAGAAGAGACTGCTTGTAAGCTTTCTGAACTGATGTACACCAACTCACATAAATCCACACACACTTCGCACTGAGAATTTCCTATCATCAGTATCTCACTTCCTGAGAAGCTGCAAAGTGGAAACACTAAGTGCTTCCTCCCAATATCTATCTCCAATGACTCTGTCAGCAGGAGGTAGTGCTACACAGAAAAGACTTCTTTAAAGCCATATGGACTTTGGGCATTCTCTCCTGCTTTTCTTTGTTAGAGATGGCCTTTTACTTCTTGAAAGATGCATGCAGGGGAACTTATATGGGCTAATTAGAAACAATAACAGAACTTACATACACTTCCCATGAGAAAAAAAATGAGTTTGTTATGCTGCCTTCCAATTCACACCAGTCTCAGTTGTCTGAACATCCTTACAGAAGGGGTGAGGGGTAGAAAACAAGGAAATGGCAACTCCTTCCCAATATATGGGAGAGCATGAGAAAGGTATGTTTAAAAATGTAGCTCTTCAGTTATAGTTTAAAGGACAAATTACCTTAGAATGCTGTACTAAAGCTTGCAAGCAAAAGAGTTCCACTGTCTCTGAAGGGATTTTACTCAATGTCTCACAATATGGAAGTCCATTTCCTCCAAAACACCATAAGCCTCCCTGAAATGATAATCCGTAAAAATTATACCACATTCCAAATACATATATACATGCATTTGCAATTCCAAATACATAAAATAAGCATTTCTAAACTGTTAAGTGTGTAATGATCTATAGAAATCTCTATAAAGTGCACAGCATGTACACACTATTCAAAATATACAAATTACACAAAAGTATATCACAAAAATATCTACTATTTTTAACTGAAAATATTAACTAGATTTTTCAGTCAGTAGTCTTTATTAACTTCAAACCAAAAAATAAAGGGAGAAAACATAGGATTTCAATTTTGTTAATGAATGTCTTCTTTTAAGATCATTTGCTTAAGCATAAAAAGCAAGAATCAGACTGTGTCAAGATTTCCATAGCTGTGAAAATTAGAAGAGGAGGAAAAAAGGTCTTCAACACATAGCATAGTATCTGAAGACCAGTGTCTCTTAATCATGCAGCGGGAAGACCAGCATAACCTCAATAAAAAAGTTTTCTAGAACAGCGTGATTATCAAAATGCCTCCAAGTGTGATGTCTTACCAAAGCTCCCTTCATAGCAAGGGCTCTGGCTGTGAAAACAATAAAGGACAGTGTAACAATATTACACATAAGTGTGTCACAGCACATAGTTACCCCACACAAATCTCTATAAACAAAGCTTTGACAGGGATCATTATTAAAATGTGACAGTCATTTTTATTATTGCATCTTACAAAAAATAACCATCACCGATTTAAAAAAGTAACAACTTTTTAATAAAAAATAAAATGCACAAGAGATAGTGGATGACACTGGCATTACAAATACTATTTTTAAGCAATAATGGCACTTTAAATGATGTTCCTAAAAGTTGTTGGACAGAGTTGAAGAATTCTTAGTTTCCAAGTCCAAACAGACCACTAGAGTATTTCAATTCTGGTTTTGGCACCAATGATCTGTTACAGGGAGGCATTTCCATGTGATATAACATATGTTACTATTTAAGGTGGGCTAACAACTTACCAGTTTGCTAATAAAACTTAACAGAGGTTTAATCATCTCAGCAGTAAATGAACACTCAAACAATGGTAAGATGAAATGTGAAAAATCATTTTATGAGCACTGCAAGGGGAAGGAAATGTTCTGGACAAAATGTTGAACTATCTGCTTTATGGGAAGGCTTATAAGTAAAGATATAATCTTTCACTAGACCAACTAGTACAGCTGGGAAAGATAAACAAGCTTTCAAGCAGGCAGACTGTATGCAGAAGAGATTCTACTTATGTTTTACGGTCACAAAATCTCTGTATTTCTCTTCCTCTTACAATGCACAAAGATATAGAAATGTGTTTGTATCTTTGAGCTCTGCAGCAACAAAGAACCCAAATAGTTCTATTCTGTAGGTGGGAACTCACCCTTTGTGCAGCGAGAGTCTGACTACTTTCACGTAAAGCAAGAGATGTAAAGTACTGGACACATGGATCAAGACCAGTCTGGGGTAAAGATACTAACAACAAGCGTAGCTCATCTTCTATGGGATAATCCTGTGAGAAGTAACACAAGTAGCTTTTAGTTCTGTTCGGAGCATGAAGCAAAACACAGAGAAAACAAAGACCTGAAATAATGGAATCAGCCACATTAATAAGGCTATAAAATACAAACCATGGACTTGAGTGCTCTGCAACTTCGGTTTAATAGTTACATCTGTAAAGACTTTGGAAACTGGTAATTCTAAAACCACCAAGTGATGAAAAGCAAGCTTTAAGCTTCATACTTTGGTGGCCTTATTCTAATAGGTGTGAAGGACAGAAGAATAAACAGTTCCTCTTGGCACAGGAAGCTTAAAAGTTCACCCTTAACTACACAGTAATTTTGGTGCTGCTCCATTAAAATGAATGTATAATTTACTAGTAAAAAATACAGACGACGTTTCTTTTAATATTTTATCTTCAAAATATTCATATAGATCTTTAATAATCCAGGGTAGATGACAGGAAAACAGACTCAAATTAATTTTATTTGTCCAAAGTCGTGGAACTTGCAGTTATTCTAATCCTTGCTACAATCAGAGATGGGGACATATCTGATGTGCAGAGCAACACTTCCTGCCACAACGATTTGCTTCAACTTCCTAAGCCGCAGATTGGGAACTCTTATCTTCAATCACCTAGCAATCATACTGCTGTATAAATATATACACAACCATATACTAGTATAACCTAGTACTTCAGGACTAACAGGTACAGATCCACTATCACATAATGTTACAAAGATAAGAAATCAAAACCTGAGAATATCACTACCAAAGCTGGTATTCAGAGTTTTGTCAGTCGAGATACACAGGTATTCTCTGACAGGGACTTCTGGCAGCATTCATTCTATTAGGATTACAAAATCCCTCTTATATTACACTCTGTGTGCCAATTCTCTTTATTGAAGAAGAGGATATGATGACATGATTGCTGAAGCATCATACAGAAACTAACTAATTAACATAAAAACAAACCAAGGTCAAATCTATCCAATGCAGATTTGCTGGTACCCAAAAGCTGGCAATAACAAGGTGGGCTTGCAGCAGCGCACCATACTAGCAGTGAGAATGCAAAGGCCTCCAGGAGTACTCTCTATGTGTAGGATTCTGTCAGTACCAACAAGGCAATCTAGGATGACTTAATATCGGACTGCTGTGCACTGCCTATTAGGTACAGAGAGGCAGTGTGTGTATCAGACTTGTAACTGGCTCAGACTTCACTGCTGGTAAATATGTAATGTGGGCATACAGTCCAAGAACATCATCCCCATCACTCTTTCTTTCCATCATGCCATTCACTAAGGCAGATATACACCACAGCTATATCACTATAATATAGTTTTGTATTTTGGTCTTAATTTTACTACTTGTTAGTTACTTTAGAAAAACTCCACTTTAGTATGGTAACGAGCAACAAAAGCACTAAAAACAGACAAGAAGGCAAAAATCACCTAAGACCTACTTTTCATTTACTTACATCCTTTATTTTTGGCAATGGTGGTGGAGGCAGGAAAAAGCGAAGGTCGATATCTTTGGATCGAGCCAAACCTATAGCAGTCCTTTGATCACAGGTTTGGGCAACTGTACCATACTGATAATCTGTAATACAAGAACTTCAGTGTTAGGTTTAAAACTAACCTTAAATATTTCATTTGGTTTTAAATGTAGTTTCTGATCTACTTTGTAAATATACTTGAAAAAAGAATGACCTCTCTGCAACCTACTTAAATAAACTCTGATTTTCAACCTCAAATTCCAAAAGATAAAAATTGCAGATGTTAGACCAGCACTATACTGAGCTGAAATACACCTGGGCACTAACTGTTCATTATAGATCTGTTTGATAAAGGTCCTCAGATGTAAGTTGAACACAGCAAAAGCAAACATTCAGTATTGCCACTGTGAAAGGAATACAAGGACTACAAACCCAGGCTTAATTCCCTAGGCTTGAGCTAAAATTTGAAAGGCCTCTTACAGACATTTTTCTGCATACAGTGTTAAAAACCAGAGACTTAAATCCAAATGCTGCAAAGACACATAATTTTAAATGACACAGAAGGCACATTTCAATAAAATTGTTAATGTCACAAAATCAGGTAACCTTCGAAAAGGCAGAATAGCACCACAGTACAGTTTCAAGTAGCCCTTCCTTACCGAAGATACAAGACAGACTTTCAGTTAATCTACTGAAGGGAAACCAGATTTAAACAGTACCTACTGTTCCTTTCTACAACCTACCTACTTGATAGCTGGAGAAATTGAAAAGTACATGTTGAAAAAGTAAGTCGCAAAACAAAGGAAAAGAAAATATAACTTTAAAGTGCATCAATACTTTTTTCTGCAAAAATTTGTTTCTATCCTCCTTACTGTTATACAATTCTAGAACAAAAAAGACAAGCCACTTCACACATACTTTTCACAGTCACAGCGGGCCATATTTTTTCTTTGGTGCAGATTACCTACAGCTGCAAACTGAAGTCACTGAAGCTGTGGTGTGGACAAGCAAAATACTGTATTTACAATACCAGGTGTGCTAAACAACTTGGTTCTAGCTGTGAAAAGTTAGCACATACTTTCAGTCTTAACCTTTCTTGGATTAAGTTTTGAAGTATGAGATTAAAAAAAAGCCCATTTCCCTCATGAGTTAGTTGGCAAGAATAACCAGTGTTTGTGAAACATCCAAATACTACAGCGATGAGCACTAAAAAGAAAAGGAGGTAACAACAAGCAACTAGATTCCAGAGTACTGGCCATCTTGTGCATAAAGATTCTGAGATCACCTGCTAACATACAGTAGCCTACAAACATGAAACGATTATGTTAAATTAGTACACAAAGTTTCAGTTTTTGTACATCCTAGCTTTCAAATACAGCTTTTTGAAGTAAATTGCTTGGGGAAATTAATTAGAATATTGAAAAAGCAATCTGAAACAAGATAAACCCCATGGAGTGGAATTGCACTGGAAGAGTGAAAGGTTGTCAACTGACTAGATCACCAGAATAATGAGTCACAATTAGTTACACCTAGTTTATGTGGCCTGCTGATGGAAGGGGGAAGAGGACACAGACACACACCCCCTTTCCTTGGGGCTAGAGCAACAGGGAGAATTTATTACTACTAAATCATCCCTAGGATGGAAAATGGCTTATGAATAATGCTTGCACATACAAGTCCTCTACCTCTAGTCTGTCATTACTACCTTGCTATTACTACCCATCAGCTCCTAACTAATTTTCATTAGCTTAACCATGGCCTTTAAACTCATTCCTACAGAGCCTTATAAAAATCACTGCCAGAACTTGTAACTGTGTGAGCAGCCCCAACAGAAAAAACAAGGAACTAATGAAGATGAACTGCTCTCCCACACTACGGCAGTGGTTGCAATTCTCTGGTGGGGAAACAGAAAGAGGCCTGCTTGCACTGCAGACACATACCAGGGTATCAGGAAAGAACAATTGCTTGAAATGTAAATAAATCTCCCACATTTTAGACCAAATTTCAGAGTGTATTTACACTTCTTGCAGTTACTAGATTTTTAAAATGTTGACAGCAGACTTGGAACAACTGAGACTTTGTCACATTTCTGGGAAGAATTAGGCCACATCAGCATACATTACCATGCCAGTGACTGTTGTTTGCCAGGTCTTGTACAGCCTGCAGTCGAAGCTCTTTGTCTTCTGACTGACTTCTCTTTAAGAGAAGCCATAAGGCACACTCATGATCTTCTCCATCAAATGTACTGAATTGTTCTTTTGGCAGGAAACAAATAAAAGCCAAGTTATTATTAATGAGTATTTTAACAGTCACGTTTCTATTTGTTGAATAAAAAAATCCATTTCTTTTCATATTTGAATATTAGTCATTAACAGTAATTCAGCATAATGTTTTAATATTAAAATTAGTTCAGTAAACAGTGACAGAATTACATCAGTAAAATGGTGACCCTTAAATTAATAGGATGGGTTTGATTCATTTTAGTGGCACCAAATTGATATTTCATATAAATGTCACACCCACAACCACTGGCTGGCACTCACCAACCAGAATTGCCAGCTTCCAGCAGGATCTGGAAATGAGTAGCAACTCTTGAGCCTCTGACCTTGAACAATTAATTTCATAGCATGACAGTGGAGGTACATATTGTTACAGTCATTTAACAGATAGTTAAATAAGAATAGATATTATGCCTCAGGAACACAATTTCTTATACGAATTGAAATTCTTAAAATTACTCTGAAAAGCAGTGACACACTGTTACCAAAAGACTGTGCTGCTTTCAGTTAATATTGGAAATTCTGATGAAAGCCTAACATACTTTTTGACAGTATTTCATCCCCTAAACACCTTTTGTACACAAAACTAGTATTAAATATTAACCTGGTATCTTAAGCTTCAAATATCTTCTGAAACAGGAAAAAAAAATAATCTTAAATCTCTTCTTAAGCATCACTTTACTTTAAGAAAAGGAATGGTTTTAATACAAAGAAAATATTCTACTATTCTATATTCATATAGAAAATGGTTAAGTAATACTACAACCATTTCATACACAAAAGAACATGTTAAGTTTGTAAGAAAAATTATTTATTTTCTAAAAGGCTTGTGTTTTGCTATTCAAAAATGATAATCATGGATAATGCCAAGCTTTCAATACTTACCATTTAAAGGTCTCCGGAAAATTTTAGCTTCTGTTTCTAGAATTTTCCTCACTGCTTTATGAATTTCTTTTCTAGCTTGGTAGGTGATCCCTACAAGAGTGTTTTTAGATTACTGGAAGTCTGAAAGACAGCTCTCTCAGATTATTTTTTCATATATATATATATATATATATATATATACATATATATATATATATATACACACACACACACACACAGAGGCATATATATAGAGAGCTATTTCATATATAAAGAACTGTATGTATAAAACTCCTAAAGAAACAGCCACCAACTTAAAATAAATTTGCTGACATTGTGAAGATATTACTTTTGTAACAGATCTCAGGAAATGTAACTTTTGTTATACAAGGGTTACTTTCAGAAACATTCTATTCTCTTAAAATTCTATTTTTAGAATCCAAACAATTATGCATCTTACCTTGATATTCACCTGGATTTAGAGAAGCTGTACGTACATATACATAGGATTTAAGTTTTTCTTGATGTATAGCTTGAGTATCAATTTGCAGTAACTTCTTTAAGGACAGGACTTCATATGTAATGAATACAAAACCTCTTTAAATAAAAGAAAACTGCATATGAATATTAATTTAAAAATTTGACAGAAAAAAAATATTAACAATTGTTTTGGTATAAATCATCCAGGTTTTACCAAATATATAATAGTTTGCAGATTATTTTAATTTAGCAAAGTAAAGACTCTAAAATACTTAGAATAAGTAATACTACCAGAAAATATGCTTCAAAACTATATTCTACCATGTTTAAAGGTCCCCATATATTGTCACATTTTTTAAAAGATACGCAAATTAAAATTTTAACTGTATACATAAGTGACATATATGCTTGTCAGTTACAACTTACCCTAGTATAAGTGATCCAGTTACCTTTGCAATTTTTCCTTGAAAAAATGAAAAATTCATGTCAAAGAAGTTGTGTGCATCACCTCAATATAAACACAGAATTTGATTACCAGACAGTAAGAATGTCAGCCATTAAGAGTAAGCTTTTTATAATTTTTCTATTGCTCTCTGGCTTTCAGGAAATCATTACCTAAATTTACAAATGGAGAAAACATTACTTGATTAGAATTTCCTGCTCTTCTAAGCGAGATGATGAAAGACATATACTGCCAGTGCTATTTGCTTTGAGTACTGCTACCTATCAATTATATTCTTTGCTCAGCTGCAGGAATCAACAGTAAACTTTGATATGAATATGTATGAATACATACAAGACTATATGTATGGTTCTGCAGAGTCTCCCTAAGAAAATATGTTTAAAAATAATTCCACTGAATCTAATTTATAAAGCAAACAGCTGAATAAACACATGTCACTTACAACAATTTCTCTTTTAAGTCGAATGATTTCTGTCAGAATTGAGCTATTTTGCATGGACAAAGTTGAGCTGATTACCTGGATGTAAGGATCTCAATACAGAGAAACTCTATTATTACCAGTAGCAGCAAACCCAATGGAACACATCTCACCTATCATGAATAATTTCTTTTCCTCAGCATAAATTGGGAGATCTGCCCCACAGCCACCGCCACCAGGTTTTGTCTTTGTGAGACCTTAAGAATTTTGGCATGCAGACAAGAGGCAGATACATGTTGAAGTAATAACTGGCAGGAAGGTTGAAAAGGCAAATAATTCAATGCTTCCTGTAGAGCAGAAATAAAAATATCCTATCTTTTAATGCTCAAAAATAAACTTTGTAATCTGAAGAATTGTCATTCTATATAGAAGGCACCAAAGAAAGCAAAGACTAAACAGGGAAGACTGTGGAACTAATATCAGTAAATAAGGAAAAAGAAACAATAGAAACAAACTTTATGGATGTAATTGTTTCATGGCTCTAGAGATTAAAAAAAAAAAAAAAAGCCATACAAAACAGAGTTTAAGATAGTTTAATGAAATGGCATCGGGGGGAGGGGACGGACGGGAGACGACGACACCCTCATCTCGTGTTCTAATCCCAGCTAATATGCTGGTATAATTTTGCATATCACTATGCAAAACAAGGTCAGATGCAGACATCCACTTTAGATCTTTTGCACCACTGAATTATGCATGGCATCATACCAGCACAGATTTTTCGTTTTTATTAACACCTCAGATTAATACATATAGAACTGTACTTACTGATATCATTCCATGGTAGGTGTGTTTTTGTGGCTGGACCAGAAGTTCCTATTTGTCTATAGCAAAATATACAGTAAGCAGCCACTGACATTCTGTATATTAAAAAAAAAAGGAAAAAAAAAAATCACAATTGATTTAAGAATTGCAGCTGAAAACCTGTAGCAGGTTTTTTCCTGTCTTTTTACAGCAAAGTTCATGATAATAAAAGTCATGATTTACAGCAAAGGTCACAATAAAACATTTTAAGTCATTTCCCTCCATATAAAATGCTCTAATTAAAGAAGTCTATAAACTGCTCAATTTAACAGGCTGCATTTCAAGTACAAGAAAAGCTACTGTTGATTTTAGTGAGTATGTATCTCCAATTAACTTCTCTGCTTTTAAGTCTCTTTTCCTACTTAGTAGCTCTTCCTTAAATACCAGATATGGTCATATCTCCATCAAGATGCGATTCATCACGACATGGGCTTTAATACAACTCAGTAACCAAATCTTTTAAAGTTAATTTTGTTAGCAAGTCTTTTATTTTGACCAATAAGGCTCCAAGAACTACTACGTATTTTTACCTTTAAAGGACAAATCAGACTAATACTTCAAGGATGTAAAAATTCTACAGTTAATAAAAATAAGTATTGGTTCTAAAATGTTCTGACTCCATAGGCTCATGAAACTCATGGGGCACGCTTACAGGCAAACCACAGACGATGCATCTCATTCTAGAAAAATTCTTACAGATGCAAAAGAATGAAAAGCTAGCCAATCCCATGAAGAGAACCTTTTCTAAAGCTAAGACCCTAGCAATTCAACATTACAAAGACACAGAATACTGACAGACTAATTGCCTTGCATGCACTGGATGCTGAAATCAAACTAGGCAATATAGAATTTTTTTCCAAATAGTCACAAACAAATGCATGTAACATTTTAGAACTACCAAAGTTATTAATGTAGAAGCAACCCAACACAAACATGAATCTTCTTGACAGTAATATGGTCTCCATGAAAGCAGTATCCGAGTGCTTTAGAAATATGAAAGACTTAATTCTTCTGACCTATCTATGATGCAAGACACTGAATTTTCCTCACTTTACAGGTAGGAAAATGAGTTAAGACAAGCACACTGCAACTTCCTTACACATTCTAGGTAAAACCTTGCCTCTTTGAACAAGTGGGACTATTCACGAGAGACCATAAAGGGGTCTTTAGCCCACTGATCAAAGCTTCATCTTAACCACTGCACAGTGAGGTTAAAATTAAGTATAGTTACTGCAGTCAAGCAATGAAAACCAAGGCAATTTAGGCCAGGCAAAAGCACCAGTTCCTGCTTCTACCACTCACATACATATACCATTGTATCTATTAGCAAACACTACTGCCTTTCATTTGATTTATATATAAAGAACTTATATATATATATAAAGAACTGTATAACTACAGTTATACAAATTGGCTTTGGCAACCCACAACAATCAAATTATGTACATTATTTCTGCTGAAGACTTAAACTCTAGCAATAGAATGTATAGTATTTTTAGTGCAAGAATTATGTCAAAATCCACAAAGAATATGAAACTTTCATAACAATCACAAAATACACAAAAATCTGTTGCCGCTCACACTGCAGAAGTAATATGAAATTAATCTTTTATGACAGGTGAAATTTTAGTGTCTGAGCTGATACACTAGCTGACTGTATTTAAACAGATTTAAAGCCACACCACTATCTATCATATATTAACGAATTATTATGTTGGAAATATAGGCATCCTTTATTAAATGCCAAGTTAAGTCTGTACCACCACAGTAACAATTAGCTCAAAATAATAAAGTGTCATGTGTAACTCTTGATCAGTAAATCTGATCTTGAAATATGGGAGCCCCTGATAGTCTCCCTGAATTTAAGGTAATCTCTATAAACCAAAACCAGAGCTTATACTGCTTTTAACGTCAGTGTCCAATTTCTCTAACAAGGGGACTTTTTTGATTCCCTCTATTAATATGTCTTCCTTCTTTTCATGTTTCCCCAAAAGTTTCATTTTTTCCTTGCTGTCTTACTTGTGTTCGGGAGATTTTGGAAAAATGTCAGCACTACCCGCGCACTACTGCAATCACAACAGACAACTATCTGGCTTCTGTCATTTCAGTATCACGTTCATCCATTCACTTCAACGGAATACACAACACTATATGAAACGCTTCCAAGACATTAATAATGAGTCCTCCGGAGACACCTCCTGTCTCCACACTCTCTGTCTAATCTATGGCAATTCCTTTACTATCTTTATTCATAGAACTCACATTTATTTTTCTACTTAACCACAGTCGGTAACTGCAATAAACACGCAGTTCAGTGACAGCAGGTGCCACAATCCCCTGAAGTCAAAAGAGGCACCTGCAAACCAAGAGACCAAGGTGACTAGTGCTACTTTGTCACTAGGAACCTCTGTTCAGGTCCGAGGGTAAATATGCTTAGATGTATACAAAAATAACGCAAAAGGACCCATTTCATAGCTGGTTCAGGAAGCTCTGCGGTCTGCAACAAATTCAGAGATCGGCCCGTGCCGAGGAGGCTGCGTGGTACCAACGTTTCCGACAACACCCCAGCGTGGGGCAGGAACGCTGTTGCCCCACAACTACGCAACTAGGGTACGTTTGAAAATACAGTTTCAGGCGATGCAACACCTAAACAACCAAGGCGCACAGCGGGGATAACTCTGTGCCTCTTTCCAAAGGGGAAAAAGATATTCGTTACCTTTTGCGCGCTGACAGGGCGCAGGTGCAGCCTTACGACACCCCGGCTCTTTCTGGAGGCTTTTAAACACGCGTGGGCTGTCCCGGGGCCTCCCCCCGCCCGGGAGGGGCCGCGCCGCGCCTCTCGGCAGGCCGGAGCGCCGGGGGAGCGAGACAGGCGGGCTCCCGCAGCCCAGGGGGACTTCGAACCCGAAATCGTTAATATAATACATAAATATCAAACCAGGTAAACACCCCGCAAACCCTCTGAGGCCAAGAAGCACCACGCCTCGGCAGGCGGGGTCGGCCAGGCTGAGATCCCCCG